TGTTCTGTTTGTTTTTTGTTTTTCCTTCTATGTTTTTTTTTTTTTTGGTGTCGTAGATGTCCTGCCGCTGTTGCCACGCCGTAGGCCCGTAGATCTCGTTCTGTATCGTGTTTTGGAGCATGTGGGGAGATGTGTTTCTTTTTTCTGTTTTACCACAGGTGTGACGGACCTGACGGTGTCCCATAACTTCTTTGGTGCTGCCTCCACATGCTGTGGCAACCCACAACATTACAAAAGAAGGTGAGGGTCACTAGAAAGGCCTTCACGAATTCAGACCCCAAATGGTGATTGCAGCATAATGGGGCCGCTCGGCCAAAACTCAATTTCGTGAAAAGCATTCCAAAGGACAAGTTCCCTGAGCCAGAAGTCGCATCCAGATCGAAATGAGAAGTCGTTTCAAAAGTCACAGTCAGGTCCTTTGGCGAGCAGGTGTTACATTCAATTTTAGAACTGAGGTAAGGTCACATCTGTTCGTCTGGAAGTCAAGAGGCACAGTCCCAGTCTAGTCGCAGTCCCACAGGTCATTTGTGACTCAGACCAGAAGTCCGAAAGTCAGGCCCGACAGCCAAAGGAGCAGCAGACCCTGGGGAAAAGGTTCTGGGACACACACTTTGCAACAGCAGGTACTGGGGAAGAGTCCCAAGCAGAGGGAGGCTGAAAATAGACCTCGCCAGACCAGCCCAGCAGTATAAAGGACTGGCCAACCTCCTCATTCGGCAGATACTCATTGGCACGAGTGTGTGGAAGTGCTGAAGCACTTGTGCGCCGGTATGCTAGTGAGCAGCGCTAGGCTTGCGAGCTGCGCTAGGAAGAAGAAGGGAGCTGGGCGCTGGCTTGGACAGGCAGCCATAGCTGCACCAGTAGGAGCTGTTAGTAGTAAAGGGGTTACCAGTGAGTAGCATTCAGAGTAGATCCTCGTGTGATAGGGAGTGTACATGCATGATCAGTGTGAGTAGACCAGGACTATAGAGAGAGAGAGGCAAAGCAGAAAGACTAGGAGAGAAGAGAGAGAAGCAAGTTATGGTGAAACCTACCTGTTGAGCGTCGTTCTTGATGACTGGCAGCTGGCGCCGTTGAGCGCCAGGCCTGAAACTTTTGCTGTATGAAGAGGACTTGTAACTTTGTTGGGCGCTATAACTTTTGAACTCGTGATTCTCTCTGGTTAATCTGGTTGTGCTAATTGAGCTCGCTACCTGGTTTCCACTCATTTCCATTCACTTTGTTTGAGTCTTTGCAATCTGTGTGATCTGCGTGACATGCATGTTATCTGGGATACTCCAGCAAGTGACGAACCATCAGGTTCCTTGCAACAAGGCAATCCACTGTGTCGGCAATCCAAGGGCATGCCTCATTGACATGAATTGAGGTGAGTTCAACTGCGGAAGTGTGTTGAACCATCGTCAATGGGGAAAGATGGAATGGGGTTAACGGGCCGGGGTAGGGGTGTCACTTTGAATGTTCTGTTTTTTTTGTTTTTTTGTTTTTTTGGGGGGGGGGGTTTGTTACTAGGGGCGGTAGCACATAAGCGGTTTCGGTGTCTAGGAAAAAAGATGTGGAAATACGATAAATGGTGAACTGTTTTTTTTCTTCTTCTTTTTTTTCCTATTTTAATGGGGGTAGGGGGTAGTAGGGGCAGTAAGGCACATAGGTGGGTGTTAACTGTTTTTTTTTTTTGTTTTTTTTTTTCCCTATGGGAATGCATTGGTTAATTGGGGTAGGGGCAGGCGGGCGGTACCGCACATAGGTGGTTTCGGTGTCTAGCAAATGATGAAGTGTAAATGCGGCACATGGTGAACTGTTTTTTTTTTTTATATTATTATTCGTTATTGAAAAGTGATGCTACTATGGGGATGCATTGGTTAATGGGGGTAGGGCGGGGTAGTAGAGGCGGTAACTTTCGGTAAGGCACATAGCTGGGTCTTAACTGTCTTTTTTTCTTTTCTTTTTTTCTTTTTTTTTTACTTATTGAAAAGATATGGAGGTTTTCGGGGATACTAGCCTACTAGGGGCGGTACGGCACATGAGTGGTTTCCGTGTCTAGGAAATGATGTGTAAACGCGATACATGGTAAACTGTTTTTTTTTTTTTTTTTCCTATTGAAAAGTGGTGCTCCTATGGGGATGCATTGGTTAATGTGGGTAGGGGGCCTAGGGGCCGAAGGGGAGGGTGCTAGGGGCGGTACGGCACATAGGGTCTCGTTAGACACTCCTAAAAATGCCTGTTTTTAGGATTGCATCGTCGTTGCACGCGATCCTAAATCCGATTTCGAGATCGAAAATGTGAAAACGGCTGTGTTAAAATCCGGGCCGCCCGGCGGCCCAGCCATCGTCCGGCAGGGGTCCCGGGCGGCCCAGCCGGTCGGGTCCCCCGGTTTGCCCCCGGGCGGGCCCAGCGCATTTTTGCGCAGGGGGGGGGGGAGGCCAGTTTTGATGTGTCTGGGCCCGTGGCAGCCTCCCCGCCCCCCCGCGCATTTTTTTTTTCGGGCGGGCTTCGATCGCGCAGGCTTTCCAGCCCAGTTTCAAACTCGAACGCCGCCGGGAGGTTTTGCACTGCCCGTCGTCGAAGAGGTGCCGCCGCTGGCCGTCGTCCCTGCCCGTCGTCGAAGAGGTGTCGCCGCTGCACGTCGTTGCCCCTGCCCATCGTCGCCCCTGCCCGCTGCCCGTCGTCTCCCCTGTCCATCGTCGAAGAGGTGCCGCCGCTGCCCGTAGTCGCTGCCGCTGCCGCTGCCYGACGCCCATGCCCGCCGAAAGGTAAGGWCGCCCCATCGTGGTGGATAGGGTATCCACCTCCACAGCGAAGCTTCCTCTTCTTCTTCTTCTTCTTCCTCTCCTCCTCYTCCATCTCCTTTCCTCTTCTTCTTCTTCCTCTCCTCCTCCTTTTCTCCTCTTCTTCTTCTCCTCCTCCTTTCCTCCTCTTCTTCTTCTCCTCCTCCACCTCCCTGCTTCATTGCTTTTCTTTGGTAGTCGAAGT